ATATATATATATATATATATATATTAGAATTGAAGAACCACCTCCACACAAAAAAATCTGCTGCCTTTTTAATTTTTTAATTTTTGCTAGCTGGTGAATATCAAAGTCCAAATCAAAAAACCTATGAATTCTCTCCTTTACACATCTATTATTACAATTACTGGTGGTTTCCAAAACATTGTTTTGTTTCATTTATATACAAATATTTCTAGCTAACTTTCTCTGCTCCTCGAGGGCATCGACAATTTCACATTTTTATTTATGGCATGGTACCTCCTCCAAACTATGTGTTTAATAATTGTTAATAAATAATTTCTTGACTAGAAATAAGAAGAGACGATCTAGCATTTATTGAGCACCTCTTGTATTGAGTACTATGTAAAGCATTTTACAAATATTACTTCATTCCATTATTTCAGAATGCCTTGAGGAAGATATTATTATTATATCTATCATATAATTAGAAAAGTAGGACTCTTGAGTCATCGAGTAAATCAGCCAGGAATATATATACCCAGAGCACAGGTCACTCTACTGCCAATACCTGTGCTCTTTCCCCTACACCTTTATTTCAACCATCTCATCTCCTTCACTTGAGTTTATCTTGAATATTTTCAAAAGGGTTTCAAAACAGCATATTTCTACTTCTATTTTTGTCTCTGTGTCCATCTGAATTTGTCTACCTCAGTCTAATCCCCTCTAGAATCATATCTCTTTCCTCTAGACGCATCTTCACTTCACACTGCACTTCTATTACTATCTTTTCCAGAGTAGATGTCTGCATTCTTCAACTTCTGGGTTGGAAGCTACCTAGGTTGGTCAATAGCGTTGCTGAAAGGCATGCCTATGTGTCGAAACAAAGAATGTTGTATAAATGTCATATATGCATTTTCACAGACAGACAGTTTTCCATAGCTTTCAAAGGATTATCAAAAGAGTCCCTTGGCGGGGCTGGGGATTTAGCTCAGTGGTTTCACTGCCTGCTGCGCAAGCACAAGGACCCGAGTTCCGATCCCTGGTACCAAAAAAAAAAAGAGTCCTTGACAGAAAACTCAAGCATCAGTACACTAAAATAACCTAGCTTAACTGATTTCAGCTCTTTAAGGAATAACATAAGATGGTTACAGTCTGTTGCTTATTTTAAGTAACTTTCTATACTATTTCTATTCTGTTCTATTTTATTATAATATAGTAGCTGCTTGGGAGATTGCTGGGCACCAGAGGACAAATGTACCGTGTGCCAAAGGAGGGTCACCAAGAGGGAAATATCTCCCACAGTTTCACTGAAAGTAACATGGTCAAGCAAGGCTGTGACCCATCCTGACAGCTGACACTGACAGAGGAGCTGAGAGGCTCTATGCATGGTTCCAAAGTAATGCCTGAGGAGACTTAACTGACCTTGACAGATAGCAAGAGGTTCATACTGATTGACAGGTCTCACTTTAACTTGGTCTTAAACACCCAGCAGAAAAGAATAACCAAAAGAGGTATAAAATAATGCCATAGTAATAAAGCTAGATGTAAAAATGGGGCTCCAGTCACTGACCTCTTCTGGCAGTTTCCAGCTCTACCAGTAGCTGACCATGATTATGGATCATTAGAAAAAAAACTATGGTAAAATCTATGAGAGCTCAGCTAGAGTTTTATATTTCTTAGTGAAATTTGTTCTTCAAATTGTCTCTTATCTTCTTACAGCTGAAACTAGAGAAACTTATGACAAAGTATCAGACTTATAGATAACCTCTTATCAATAAAAGAATCTAAGAGTCAGCAGGTTACAATCACTATTTCAATTTCTAAGTGTGACTTTCTTCCCAACCTGCCCTTTCGTTCTAGTGTGCTCATGCTTAGATTATGCTCTAATTTCTTAAAAGTTTTGTTTATTCTTGCCTAGAGGCTCCCAAACTCCAAGCAGTCATACAAATGGAACCAATGACAAATGTGCAGACTTCTTTTACCGGGATTCACCAGATCGACCTTGTAAACAGATCATAACTGCTAAACTATACAATATGACTTCTATGTTGGGATTCTGAAGTCCCCTGGACCTTCTCCTTATCCTCTTTGTGGGAGGCTATTACTAGTTCCTCCCAGTGGAGACCCTTGTTGGCTATATTCATAGCAATCCTGCTGACCTTATAATTTGGCCCATGTATTAACTGTTTCTTCGGCTTTGTCTCCTGCAGATTCAAAGCTATATGGCTACCAAGATGACAATGCTTGGCACCTATCGAGGGCCTTTAGATAGACTCTGTAGAGTAACTCTAGCTGCTGATCACAACTATGACCCTCTTCAGCTGGAAGGAGCCAGAATGGTCTTCGCCCTTTGCCCCCTCACAGCAGTTAGGGGTACTTCTTCAAAGAAGGGAATATTATAGATAGGTAAGTTAATTAGATATCTCGTTGGCAGGTAGACAGAGCCTCCCTTAAGGCATCAGCCCACCAGGAGCCAACACAGCAAGGAATCAACATGGAGAACAATTGAGGCACATTCACTGGTTAGCATTATAAAAAAGAAAAGAAGTACTACTTCCCCTAGAGATAGATAGCAGTGATTGATATTCTAAATGGGAAATTCCTTGTATGTGAATTGTCTTCCCATTTGATCCCCATTTAATTAATATTACCTGGGTGACTGTACTTGTAATCTTATTGGTTGGTCATGGTTTTGTCCCACCTCCTGCCCACCTTGTAAATTTCCATTGGGTCTTATAGTTTTGTCCCACTTTCTACCCACCTCACCACATGGCTTTGCTGTATAAAACATCTTTGAAAACTGGGGTGGGCAGGCAACCCACTTTCTGGTCCCCTTTCTGTGTCTCTTAGACAGAAGCTTTTTTTCTCTCAATAAATTTTTCCTACTCTTAAAAAAATACATAGTAGCCGCTTTAGCTAATTTGGGGAAACTCAATACTTTTCTTCAACTTCTTCAAATATCTGTTTATTCATCTCTCATTTATGAAATCTCCATCTGGTTATACCCAATGTTTTGGCATTCTTTCAACTATCCTCCCTGTTCCTTGCCTGCATGATTATCTAAGCATCTTTACAATAGCTTTTATATCCATTTTCTCATTTAGCTTAATAATTTTCTAAAAAGTAAGTATTACTATTATTTTTAAAAAGGTAATTTATCCACTTCTTTGCAAATAGCAATGCTAATGTTCATACTTGGAAAAACTGAGAAATAAACCCATATATTTATGGTCAATTTATTTTTGTCCAGTGTTCCAAAATCATTCAATAAAGGAAGAATAGTTTTCTCAACAAATGATGCTAGGACAAACATATCTCCACATGCAGAAAGATGAAGCTGGAGCTGTACCTAGCAACATATATAAAAGTAAT